TCAGGGTACAGCTATGAAGTATTTATCATCTGAAACAAACTCGGCGTACGCGGTTTTCCAGAGTTAAAGCTCATAAAAAACGCTGACTAAATTTACTTTATGACAACTATAGACTTGAAATACTGTATTGCATAAATACCTAACACGAACAGAATTCTGAGACAATGATGCCAAGTTTGAACCCGAATGGCAACGTGGAAGCGATGCCACTTTGAAAGAATATTTTAAAAACTGTACAAAGTGCAGTGCTTAAACATAAACTTAATCATTGACGTTCTGGTACATCTTCACGAATGTACTGTCTTTTATTTTTACTAGTTCCATTTATTTAGCAACCCTGCTTGGGAGGCATACTGTAAACAAACCAACACTGTAAGTTATAGATCGTACCTGCGAAAATGGCGTATACTTTCCATGGCAGACATATTATACATTTATATATCAATATGTCAGTTCTGTCAAATATAATACCGAAAATGATTATAATTGCATATGGTTGTATGGTATAAACTTACATAGTGTTCATGAACAGTTTAATGTAGAATTGATTCGATCTGCATTTATTAGATAAATACTGAACATCTTTGTTTATCGACTTCTCTTAGGGTAATAAATTATATGTTAAGGATTTTACAGCACGTTTTTGTTAAAATAATCTGACAATACTCTACCTCGGCATTAATGGTGCATTTCACTTGCTTGGGTTTAAATTGATACAAGCAGTCGCACTTAAGTTGACTTGACTTCACTCAGATAGTGAACGCCAGCTACGTCAAACGACTACATATTACGATAAAAACTATAAATCAAGCGCAAACATTAGTAGAACTGACTTGTGGTGGCAGATGTGCTGTTCATATGTGAGAAATAAAGACCCCCGAAATACTTGATAGCATGCAACATGTGAGCTAGAACCCATGGGTTAACTTATTTTTCATGCTGAACGAATGCAAGCACTGAGCTGTCTATTTTAAGAAGTAACTTGTTAAATGCACAGTTACCCAGAAAGAGATGTCAGTTTTAACGTGTTGTTTGATACTTCCAGACCTCCAGAAAACGAACTTGATGATCATTTAGCAAGCATAAATACAAATCTTTCTGAAATATCTGAGGTATTGAATAACATGTAAGACGAATTTATTTGTTTTTAGGCATGTTTTTTGTGTTGTGCACAACGGTGCTAAAAATAAGGAAAAGAATAAATAATATACTATATTAACTTAGATTTATTACTTAACAGATCTCTAAAATATAGTAAGGGAAACACAGTATCTGGAAACACAAAGGACTTTTTTGTCATGGTAGATATTGATGGACGTTTGTCATTATAACTCCTGTAGACACGAGTGAACTCGTTTCCAACTCAGTTTTCCATTGTGAACGTTTATTACGTTATTATGAACAAGTTATTAACCGCTATCGTTTTTGAAATTGTTGAACTGAGAAGAGGGTTTCTGTAATTTTACCAAAGGGGCAGTTCAATTTCTGGGCCTGAAAATATGGAACCAGCAAAGGTCTTTTAAGCACCCCTATAAGTGAGAAGCTAAAAATAAAATTGAGTAGTACCCCTGATTATCACTGACATATAATTACTGGATACAGGCCGCTGAGAAAACATTGGATGAAATGGTTCGAGAGTGAGCCATAAGTATAAACATTGTTTGTTGACCTATGGAAAACTAAAATAAGTTTGCCTTTAATATGAATAAACCTAGAGTAGTTGCATTATCCCATACGTGGCACCCGTTCATAATTTGTGTGTTTCAAAAAATAACCACGGAATAGGGATAATGTATGAAGTAGTTAGAAGAGTAAGCTTCGATTTCCTCAATATACAGTGCCGGATACAGAGGATGAATAACTGCTGAGTGAAAGAACGTGGTATTTGCACATGGTAAGAAAAGGAACAATAAGGTCAGACTTTTAGTTTTAGAATTATTTCCTTGTCCTTTATTGGAATACCAGATAACAACCATTTCGAACACTTATTTTCATAACACAATATCAATTGATAGTTTCAGTGCTCTGACGTGAGACTTTATGGACAGTTAGTGTGCATCACTAAATAATTCCTCGAAATAAATAGTTATGTGGGTTTCTGCCAATGATGCTGACTAGGCCCACGCTAGTGAAATGTGCTCAGTAACTCATTCACACAATTACACGGTTGTGTACTCAGAGCTACGCATCCCTCAAGACAATAAGCCATTTTAAATTACATACTTATCCACACAATGACTATCCCCCAAATATGTTTCAGATCTCTTTCATTCCTGACTTCTGATTTAAGTGTGTTTGAGATTTTTGGATCACAAAGACACTAGGAAAAAAAGTGCCGTCAAGCCCTGAATATGTGTGACATTTTTAGGTGCATCACCATCTACACAGCAGAAAACATCCTACGGTTTACTTCATATACCGTACTACGACAATGTTTAATGAAATTCTCCAAATGATATGACATGCTATCGTGGAGTCGCATTTCAAGAATATATATGGCTTGATGCCTTCATTAAAATAATCAGCATCATTTTTGTGATGGAGTTAGAACTTGTCTCCCAAAAAAACCTCGCCAAGCTGTACCCTAATTTAAAAAGGATGTCGCTTTCCTGGAACACTTTCAAAGAGTGGTCAAAACGTTACTCGGATTCACAAATTAATGCTATCTAGTTCAGCTGAAAACATTGAGCACCAAACTTCCGCAACTATAATCAGTATGACAATGATTCGTCTTAATAGTCATCAACTAATTGTTTTTAATAGGTGGTTATTGCGTTTCACGATTTGCCTTATTACCGACGACGTGAAACTTTGGAGAGTGATACGCAACCAAGACGATAAACAGGCACTTCAAGAGGATCTGACTCGACTTCATAGTTGGGCAGACGATAACGGACTTACCTTTAACACTTCAAAGTGTAAAGTAGTCCATCTGCGACATGTCGCAAACTACAGTTACAACTTAGGAAACTCCTCTCTAGTAGTATCCCAAGTCGAAAAAGATTTAGGAGTCCTGGTGCCCCACGACTTAAAGTCTTACGCTAACTGTGACAAAAATGCCTTCCGAGCAAACCTTGCACTGGTAACGTTGAGGCGCATTTTTGGTCAGTTTGACGGAAGAACTTTCCACACAATCTTCAATAGCTTCATCCGTCCCCATTTAGAGTACGGAAACATAATACTCCCCCCTCACTCCAAAAGGATAAGGTCACTTTGGAGCGTATCCAACGGCGAGCCACGAAATCAGTTCGAGGACTCAAATCTAAGCCTTACGAAGAACGCCTCCGTTCACTAGACCTTTACCCACTAGAATATAGGCGTCTTAGAGGTGATTTACTAAAGGCTTATAGTATTCTTAACACTTCTGGACATCCTCTTAAACACCTACTTAAGCTTAGTTCGAACAATAACCTAAGGGTAACACCCAGAAACTGGAAACACAACATAGCAAGACGGAATGTAGACACAACTTCTACTCCTTAAGAGTTGTCAAAAGCTGGAACTCGCTGCCGGCCGAGCTAGTCCAAGCGACTTCTCAGGAGTCCTTCAAGAGGCAACTTGACCTATTCTTAAGGACCAAGGTCAGCATCACACTATGATTTACCAATTTCTTTTCCTCTTTTACTGTTAACATACCTAGGTTCCTGCCTGGAGGATTTCGTGATCCCCTGCTACTAGACACGGAAGCCTGTTAAGCGAAAGCTTCTTCTATTCCGTCCACAACCATTTGAACCATTTGAATTTGAACCTTGTACACTTTTGACTGAGGACAGTTGTACTGTAGACATCTTCGATTGAAAAAGATTTCCCATGCGGTCACTAGACTTGATTGCACACTTGCGCACGTTACATATGCCACCGCTGTTTGTTTCTGATATACTGTGTTTCAGATGTGAATGGTTTTTAGCTTAAAACTAATCATTTGAGATGAATATGGAATCATTAACTTATCAGTCCAGTGAGAGATGGAATAAAACTCATACTCGTTGTCCGCCACGTTTCCCTTGAAGGGAAAAAGTTAAATCTAGATTTTATTGTCAAGAGACTTAACTCAGATGTTTCACTTCCAAGGCTGTGTATGAAAGTATACTCAGCACTTTGTATGTTTGGAAAATCACTATAGTTAGTCAATTAAGTTAGTTGAAACAGGTTACACATTTGAATTGGAGGGGAAAAGAGTTAATGATCTTTAGCTGGTTCGGCTTACTAACACATGCCAAGAACTTACTAGGCTACTCATTTTAGGAGGTCATAACACTCTTTGCGGGCAGCTAAATCCTAGAATTTGCTACCAGCTGAGGTGATCTAACCGAATTCCGAGGAGTCCTTCGAGAGAATACATGGTGTAGCCGTAAATAAATCCCCAAAATGAATAGCTCTGTAAGTTTTCAACATGGGGTGCTGACCACATTATTTTTGATGGACTCACCTAGCTGAAGGCACTCGGCCACGCATCCGCACCAGATCACGAGTGGGAACGCCGTGCTCAACAAACACTGCAATCGCTATCCAGATTAGATCAGACGATCCTCGCTATATTGATAGCCTATCAAACATATCTTCGAACCTCCTCGCTTCTGCCTTTTGATTTCTTTTGGTGGGTACGCTTCGTATTAGAAGGTGTTACTGGTTAAAGAGTTGTCAAACTCCGAATAACTGTGGCAACTTCAATGGCTTAGTCTTAAGGACTCACTAAAACCTACTGATATTTCTCTTTTGACCATTGAGTAAACATGAATTCATACAGAGAGGCAGCGGTAATCTACTGGTACTAGGTATTGGAGTTCATTAAGCGAAAGCATCTGTCATCTGTCCAGATCAATTTGAACCAACCGCTTCCCTTACTATCCCTTAAGCTTATTTTCACTTGATGTGAGACTGTTTCCTTCATATTTTACTGAAAGGCTAGTAACAGTAACATACTGCACAACATTTGAGACATGTTTAAATAACTTTTTGATTTCAAGAACTACTATTGAAAATAAAACTGCTGTTATGTCAACAAACACTTTGCACATTTTGAAATGAATGAAGTTGAACGTTCTAAAGTTTTTATAGCAAACGTTGACAGATATGATGAATGCAACATTGCAAAATTTTTGTCTCAACTTGTTATTGGAAGAGCCTCAAAAGCAGAGGATGAAGAGGCTGTTGAAGAAGGCAATGTGACTTCCAAGCAAGTAGGAAATCCCCAAACGTATTCACTTTACGGTACAGTGGATGATTCTTGCAAAGATCCCCCTGGTTTCGTGAATATAATCACAATGGTATATTCTATTTTGTTTACTTTTTTAACATTTGGCATTTTGCCATCAAGATTACAGATATAATCTGTAACGTCATATAATATGTTATAATTATAACATTACAATACATTTTACTGAATTGTCAGCCAGCAGAAGTGCGGTATGCAGGGTTCCCCGTAGGTTATCTCCAACCACACAATACGATTTTAAAGGGCTAATTTTACTGAAAGCTTCTTCTTTGAAATGTTGCTACGAGCCAAGTTTGTCAAGCTCTTTAGATAAGGAGCAGAATGATTCACTTTTATGCTATAAATGTCGCACTCAATATTCTGCATCGTTCTAAGGGTTGTCAATAGAGTGTAAATTTGAGTCACTTAAACTTCTCTAGCGATACAAAAATACAATATGAGTCCCTTATTTTCTTTGTCTAGTTCTAAAATCTCTTTCAATTATCTTGAGCTTAGTCCCGTAACATCTGATGTTTTTTGTGTCACCAAGGAAACGATGCATAATGTTGCACAGGTTAACTAATTGAAAATGCCCTGATCAATAAAACACTTGCGCACACTGATAAATTTCACAATTTACTTCCATAATTCGTAAAAGATTTCCCATTCATATAATTGATTATACAGGTCAGGATTATTTTTTAATCCTTTTAGACTCCAACACTTGGTTTCGAATTAGTAGTTACTCAAAAATTCCAATTAGTTGATAAAATTATTTTAGGTAATCTAATTTTCACCTCCTGATTTATTCATTAAACCAGTGTCCACGTTGAAAATTGGTCAATCGTTAACCCAACAATTTTGTTGAGAATTCCAAAACAAATTGTGTGCTCACTACATTTGACTGCTTGGCCTAGGGTTACTTGACTATGGATTTACGCAGTCCATTCTTAAAGTAAACGTTTGTGATCTGAGGGATGAACTGTACCTGAAACCTTATGTTGTTTGGTGGACGTAATTAAAGGACCGTTTACTGTCAGTGTTTGAGATGTCAGGCAAATAAATTCGTATCTTAGATTACATATTTATGAAACTGAGTGGTAGTTGGTTTTGTCTGAGCAAAGAAACTTCAGTATGTTCATGTGATTTCTAGATACGCTTTTCATTAACACAATCATAAACTCAGTTGTTTGGCGCGGCCAAATGGAACCATCAGGTTGTAAAATAGGACTACCATTAAGTATTAGTTCGCCTTTTTCAAAGACAGATGAGTGGCAAATATTTGCTCAGTACTTTACACATCTGTGTCTAAATTGAGCTTATTATTCTCAGATTTGCTGTTATTGAGCTGCAGTTAAACGCTGGGTGATTATAAAACCTCATATTTTAGATATATTACAAAATTAATTGTCGTAATGATCCGGAAAAGACACAAAAACACAGAGAATTTGTACATTTCTACTCCAACTATTTTTTTTGATTTATTCAAATGGACGAAGAAAATTGATTCTTTGACGTTTTCAGTAAACCACTGATATTCTCTGCATGCTATCCCACGATTTTAACCACGGTTTAAACTTACAAGTTTATCACCTTACTTAATACACACTCTTGGCAAAAAAACCAAAATAGATATTCTTACATTTTACTGCCTCATTTACAGTTACACGCATTCCCAAAGCACTTAAATAATATATAATTCTTTTTATATCGTTTTAATTTGTGTGTACAGAATGACAAACGGCAAGACTATGTTGAAAAAATCATGGAATGTGATTATATCATTTACAATATCAAAGATGATCACACTGTTGTTGATGATGCTTTGTGGATACTAGATCAAATTCACAGTAATTTAGAATCTTTTACAACACAAAAGATATTCATTCTTATTTCTTCTGTATTAACATGGTCCAAAAGTGCACTTCCAGATCCAGTAGGTAATCGATTCATATAAACAATATTACAGGATGATCCGGAAATGCCTTTTACTGATGATGATTATTTAAGAAGGAAAACACATCCAAACTTTAAAGAGCATATATTAGCTGAGAAATCAGTCGTACAACAAGGAAAAACAGTAACTTAAACAGTAATACAATAATATAATTGCTTTTGTTCTTCAGAATAAACTAAAACTACTTACCTATGTTATCGCATGTGGTCTAACGTATGGAGAGAAAGAAAATGTATTTCATCATTTCTTCAAGGTATTTTATTCCCATTAACTCAAGTTTTAAGTTAAAAGGACTATGTTAAACATTTTTAATATCTATCAGTCCACTTCTAGTGATAAAATAATAACTAATTTATAATCATCAGTATAGGGTTCTGAAGATTGTTCGATTTTATTGATTTCACAAGCTGATATTAGTTGTACAACAATTAAAAAACTGGAATCACTATAGGGTTGTTTCTTCCTACTATGAGACTCCTTGTCAGAGTGCGTTCACGACCCGTTCACCAGAAATTGAACCCAGGACCTTCAACTTTAGCCCAAACGCTTAAGCCATGGATGAAACGGTGCACAGTGGTGCACAAATCAATTTTTAATCTCTTCTAAATAAGATAGGACAAGTTTAAACTTGTCTTTTAGTTGAAGAAATGAGCACAGAACCTCAAAAACACAATATTCTATCAATCACCTGCCTACGCCTGTTACCCTTCGTGAAGGATCAGAGACCATGCAACAGGATTCGCCATCAAACCGTTTTGAGTAGTCCTTCCCAGTTGCAATTCATTCTTTTGATGTCTGCTTCCGATTCCCGATGTGATCTATTCTTTGGTCATCCTCTCTTCCTTTTCCCTTCAGAATATCAAGTTAGCACTCACCTCATGATGTAGTTTGATGATTTCCGCAATGTATGTCCTATACACCTCCAACGTCTTTTTCTAATTTTCTCTTCAGATGAAAACTGGTCTGTTCTCTTCCACAGTAGGTGGTTGCTGGTGGCATCCGATCAACGGATATTAAGTATCTTGAGTAGACAATTGTTTATAAATACCTGTACGTTTTCGATGTTGGTTTTAGTAGTTCTCCAAGTTTCAGCTTTATACAGTAGGACTGTCTTGACGTTCGTATTGAAGATTCTGACTTTGGTATTGATCGAAAATTGTCTTGAGTTGCATATGCTCTTCAGTTGTAGGGATGTTACGCTTTCTCTGTCAATCCTCGCCTTCACGTCTGCATCGGATTATCCTTGTTCTTCAGTGATACTAGCCACGTACGTAAAAGTCTCCACTTCTTTTAGAGCATCTCAGTCATATGTGATTGGGTTACTGTTCTGTTTGTTGTATTGTAGAATTCAGCTTTTCCTCTTGTGTATGTTGAGGCCTACTTCTACTACATTGGCTTTCTTTACATGCATTTGGTGGTGTGTGTAGGATAGAAGAGTAAGGTCATCTGCAAACTTCAAGTCGTCTAGTTGCTTCCAACCTGTCAATTGTATTCCGTCCCCCTCAGACATGGAGGCTTTTATAATCTAGTCGACCACCAGAAAAAAGTGAAAAATTGAGAGTAAGCAGCCTTGTCTAACACTGGTCCTCACTTGAAATGCATCTGTCAGCGGTCCTCCATCTACAACCTTGTAATTCTACCTATTAGGATGTTACAAATATATTATGATTTTGTTGTTATAAGCGATCTACTCAGTATATTGTTTATTCGAAACAATTACTCGGTTTCTTATATCTTATGAATACATTTTTAGGCGGCATGGAATAACGAAGAATTTATTCAATTACCAGGAGATGGTAATAATATTGTACCTACGATACACTTACGTGACCTAACCAGGTAACCATACCATTAAATTTATGCCACGGTATTGTATTGAGAATAAACATAATGCATTCGCTGTTGGCCTATTTATATTAGTAGCCAGATTGCGACTGGTCGGTAGAATTCGATCAGTTCTAAGGATTAAACAAAAATCACATCTGTTACCACTCGCTGACCAATCAACTCACGTATTCACTGTAATTAATTGAGGTTGATGATAATCTTCCATTGCCTAAATATGTAAATAACCATCTTATATCATTCTGAAAGTTTTCTAATATATTATATAGCCTCTATTCGTGATGACACTACACTGAGTAATATGAATATTATTATCTCAGAGATATCTAATATTTTCGTACATTGTTACTTACAAATCATCAAATTTTGACTGAAATCTATATTTTTCAATATATTTATATATATATATATACGTAGCATATTGCAGTTCGTTATGGAAATGAGACCAGCAAAACACTATATTCTGGCTAAAGATGATTCTCAAAATACACTTCGTGAGATAGTCAAAGTAAGCATAGTTTCTTTTTAGTGTTTACTATTGATAGTAATTAATTAATTTCTAGTCAATCTGTGAATGCTAACTATTTTGGCTTGTATTCTTTATTTATTTACAACTGTTAGATAGTTTATTTTGGCGGGATAGAATCCTAAAGATTGCATGCTTAGATTGAACTGAAATCAGAATAGTATAACTGGCTCATTTTCAATTGATCAACACTAATAAATGGTTAAGATCATGAGTCAGTTGAAGCTAGACCACCATGGAAAACCTGGAAGCACTGGACGGCCGTTTCGTCCTGGGAGATTCGAACCCAGGACCTACTGGCCTCGCGCCCGAGCACCTAACCACTAGACCACTGAGCCGGCATCCAACGGTGTTAATGTCCTGGATGCGCACTGCTGAGGAGTCCCACAATAGGACGAAACGGCCGTACAGTGCTTCCAGGTTTTCCATGATGGTCTAGCTTCAACTGACTCATGATCTTAACCATTGAAATTACTACAATCTCCCCAAAAACCCATCTGATACTAATAAATGGATTGAGAATATATTATACATTTCTCTCTTCGATTCTATATGAACTGTTATGTTTTCACTACATGACCCATTGTTAAGCCGATTATTTGAAATATATATTGTTTTCCGCTCAATCTTGTTCTTAGTTGTATCTCGTTGAGTTAAAATTAGTGATAATTGGATACTAAAGAATATCTTCTGGTAGAATGAGACGTAATTACATTAAAATCCATGCACCCAAGCAAAAGTACAAACGTTTTATAATACCTTACCTAGCAAATATACTCCGTGACGAACAGGTTGTTAGAGTTAACCTAGTCAATAACTTGCATTCTTAATATGTCCTTAAGTTTAAAAGTTGTACAGTTGTTTTTTTTTGTATTCACTACTGTTTTTTTGTTGTTATTGCGTAAGTAACTTGTTGAAATAACTCGTGCTGAGAATTCTATATTGTACCAAAATATAATATTGAATAAAGCCATTAATAATAATAATAACTGTTCTATATATATATATATATATATATATATATATATATATATATATATATATATATATATATATACCCAGATGTCCTCGTACGACTGAGGGTGGGGAGAGTCCGCTCTCAATCTCGAAATGCTATCACATGGCCACGCATATACAGCCACTGCCAGGAAAGTCCTACTCGCTGTCTTCTCGAGACCGGGTGCTGTTTATGAAATTGAGGGAACGAAAAGCGAATGTGTGGCGCTTTAGCCAAGTTGGTGGATACGGAGGGTCCACTTAGGGGAGTTGTAAAACCCTGATTCCAAAGTAGCAGTGCACATGCGCTCCAGGATCCTGAACGAACAAAAAGTGTATGAACTTATTGTTGGTCACTAGCCACCATGAGACTGCATCTCCTAGCGTCGATCCACTGTCTTATGGATCAGATGTTCGGGTCGAAGACTCGGGGTGTGGCTCTCTGAGAAAACTGTCTGCTTCGGTTTGGGCACCCGGGCAGTATCACAGTCCTCATAAAAATCAATGATAACCGCTACTGGCCTCATTGTTATTATGTGGTGCATATGTATTTGGTGCCCCCTTGCGCCAATGTTTATGTGTCTAAATAATATATATATATATATATATATATATATATATACAATGTAATTTGAGTCCCTTTGTTATGTATAATAAAAAGCATGTAAGGCCACCATTATTTGAATGTTTTCATTTCTATGGTGGTCATCAGTTTACAACTTTATGTATATATATACATAATCCATTACAAATTAAGTTTCTCTCTAGTAAATTCTCAACAGTTATATAAATGTTGTCAACCAAAAGCTCATTGTAAAAGTAATTACTAGTCGAAACGTCTGACTCATTTTAAACGAGATATATTGATACGTTTAACGTAAACAATTAAATGAATGGTAACGCATTCACTTTATGTCTTTATTATTGTGCATATTTTTTTTTCATTCCAGGCTATTTCTACAAGTATGACAACTGGTCATATTAAATCTATCTCTAAAGAAGAAGCCTTGTTTTGTCGAGATATAACAGTATGTTCTTGTCACTTATTTTAAAAAAATAACTTATTCTATCAATTATTCTAATTCATTATCATTTACATTCGACAATTGTAAGTGGTTGATGAACATTCTCTTCATATTAAGTAGTTGATTAGTTTAGATCGAATAATGATTGAATTAATTCCGGAATGTTAAAGCTTGATAAATAAATTTTTAAAAAACACCTAATGTTCGATAAGTAAAGTCACATTTCAATTCTTACTTTAATTTTTTCCAAAATAAGTTTGCTTATCTAAACATATTTTATCTTTCCTGGAATAAAATGAACAAATTTAAGAAACAGTTAAATTATGATGGGATATTTAGTTTGATTCAATATATAACATCGAATAAAAGGTTGAAAGGTGAAGTTTGTGAGGCGAACCGATCATGTATAAGATAACAGGTCTCGAACTTTGACGCGAAATTCGCCCATTCATCCGGATAAATCGAGTTTTGGCATTATAATTGATTGAAATCATGAGTCAGTTGAAGCTAGACCACCATTGAAAACCTGGAAGCACTGGACGGCCGTTTCGTCCTGGTATGGGACTCCTCAGCAGTGCGCATCCACGAACCCGCACCACCCGGTGGTCTAGCTTCAACTGACTCATGATTTCAATCTGTGAAAATTTCCAAAAATCTCCACAAAACACATTCTGATAATTATAATTGATGTCAATTCGTAATGAAAGCCCTAAATCTAATTTCTAACCTTAATCATCAACTGTAAATCATAATTATAATTTCTCACATAGGTTTATAACCCCTATTTGGTCCTGGTTATTAGGTTCAGTCTGGCGTCACTCAAATGTCGTCCATAAATTATATTTTCACAGTTTATGATACTTCAATATTAAGTTGATCATGATGTCATTTGATAATAATTATATTTTATTGGTAAATTAATACAACTTGTTCTGTACGAGAATACGAGTCTATTGGAATCTATTATACATGTTCACATGTCATTTTGATCAAGTATCTTTTTCAACTTTTCTTTTAGTTATTAGTAATTATTCATCTTTCCGTTTGATGATCATATCTAGTTCATTAAGTATTTCCCCTGTTCTTTTCTCTTCGTAATGTTACTGCTGAAAAAGAAATAATTTTAAAAGTATACTTTCACTACTATTCCTACTAGTAGTGGTAACTTGATTTCAAAATCTGAGATTATTAGAAGACTATTCGGTGAAGTATCCTTTAGACTTATTGTTTTACTGGCCGTCTAGAATGATCTAATGGTAACGAAAAGAATTTGAAGGAAAAGTAATGAGATTAAACTATCTTGATCCCATAGAATATAGATGAGTACTTAATATTTCGAAAATCCCATTCAGTTAGTTCACATTTGCTTAAATATTTTAAACTCTCTAGAAGGCAACTTTATTATTTGAAAGGTTATTATTAAGTGCAGTGACGAATGTTAGATTGGAGGTCACAACTCATAGATTGACTTTGATTGGACAATCATTGAAAATCAAGGAGTAAAGAACAGCTGCATTTTCCTAGTATAAAATTGCCCAATCAAAGTCACACCGCGGATCAAATCCACGGTCGAGTGTTTAATTTTCCTATGACCGAACTGGCATCCAATAATTCCAGTCAGTTTACGATATTTCGCGACTACCATTCATTATCGTTATCGATATTTGTTTCACGCTCGAAGTAGTTAATTTCCGCTAACCACAGCTTTTCAGTGCTTCCTGGTTTTATCTAATTACTTGACCAAAATCAGTTTATAATGTGAATATTTGTATTTTAATATAATTCATACAAAGTGTTATGTCCCGATAAGCATAATGAATGGTAATTTTTAGGATCCACTTATGGACCAATACTATGCGTATATTTTTATCGTATAATTGTTAAGTAACTAAACTATACATATTCATGTCCCTCTTATTATGAGCTTTATTTTGACCTATGAGCAATTATTCTACGACTTACCATTCTTGAATTATGCCCTGTCTATTAATTACTATCTTCCACATTCACAGCCACTTTTGGCTATTTTAGGGTACAGTGTGGTCTGTCTGGTTGGTATATAAACCCATTATGTTTGAAATAAACAATTCATATTGCAGAGGCTGAGATTGGTGTTCTAAACCTAACAGGTTGGGCTAAGCAGGAAGCAGGACCGTTAAGTACTATAGACTGCTCGTACGGGTTTTATGCGTCACTGGTTCTATCGATAATTCACTACTCTCTAATTGGCGGTATCGTTATGTTATACAATAACAGGGCGCATAGGTCACAAGTTATAACACAAAGGCTTTATGTATTACATCTTAATACGTCTACATACTACCTAACAAAAACTATCAGTTACAGGTTGACATCTTGTGATAATGAAAAATCCCTAATCAAAAGTACTATTGTATTGTAAATGAAGCTCTTGATAGTCGATTTCAACTTATAATTAGATAACAACTATATGTTTTATTTGTTTAAATTCTAACAGTTAAAATGATGCCTTTTAAATTTACATTATTGTCTTTTTACTGAATGCTGAAAAATAATGATAATATAAAATCAAAAATAAACTAGCAAAATGCAATGGATCAGTTATTAGTGTCAATTCGTATGAATGCTAGTTATGTAAAAGAAAATTTTCAAATTAAATGGCATTGTGAAACAGGATTAGTAGATCATATTAATTTGATCACGAAAGAATATAAATTATCTCGTCAATTAATAGTAAGTTGTTGTATGTTATTGTTGTTGTTGTTGTTTTGATTAAACTATATTTTTAAGATCATCTGAAGAAGTCCAGAGAAGTTAGCTGGACGAAATGTTGGAATTATTTAAATTTCAATCGCTGAGATTATTTCTATCTAAAGTTTGTGCTGATGATGTCGTTCAGAAGAACGATGAAAGCTCCACGACCAAACCATCCATCTCATAAAACAAAACTCCATCAAAATTATTTCAAATATAATTTTCACATATAATGACTTCTCTATACGGCGACGCCCAATTTTTGTCAAACTATTCGTTTTAATATTGCCGACGATTCGTATATATATATTTAAGGTTTCTTTTATTTTCATGACATTTTGTTTAGAAGAAGATAATCATATAGAGAAACAATCATAAATCACAAAGCTTTTTCTATGTTCTAAATACTATCCCTTAATTGTCTTCACAATTAGTAAATAGTGGTAAACATACATTTCATATAATCCTGGATGAGACTATTGATTTCAACTTTAATAATTTTGTAAAACTTTTGTCCATCATTGACCAGGGTTTTTTCAAGTTTTACACAGAATACTTCAACTAGCTTAGTGAAACTCATGAACTTGGGTATATATATAATAAAGAGAGAGGAAAAAGAAAACAAATTGTCCGTCTGAAAATAAAACATAAGATTTACTTGAATTTACTGGTCAACTACTTTTTAAGGGGGTATCTTAATTGAATTAACTGATGTTACGAATAGATAATGATAGAAAGCTTCTTAATCAGATATTACCAATCAAGGATATTGGTTGTTCATTCAAAACCAATGATTACTTGAGGTTTTGATTTGTTTCAATTTCTGCTTTAAATAAGTTCATTGAGTAGCTGATTATGTTGTTGAGCCAACAATTATAAATGGACCCCCCTTTTTTCCATCGAGATTATTGCTCAGTTAAAAATGTATATAAAAAGTTATCTTATTGATAAGGAATAATATTTTGTAATGATAGGTTAAGTAGTATCTTCTTATGGCTTAGTGATGTATAAATTACCACTGCGAACCATCTTATTTGTTATAAATTCGCCTTGCTCAGTGTCAGCCATCTGTTATTGTCGTATTAACGCAGTTTTTTATATCATAACATGGAAAGTTACCAGACACCATTGAATGTTTTTAGAACCATTTAATCTAACAGAGTACAAATAACTATCAATGTTAAGCCAGTTACGAGCTTTGACTTCTATTTTTTCAGGTTATTAATTCCTTGGAACCATCATCAAAAATTGAACACAATAAAAAAATAACTAGGAATGATAAATGAACGACACGTTTTGATTGTAAATCTATGTCACAAAAACACAGCACACATTCACAGTCTACTGTTATCGCGCAACAACAAATAAGTAAAACTAGGGAATGAATGAAGTTACGAAACTGCATTTTTTTCACTTAATCGATACTTGGTTTCTAACAGAATATATTTCAGCAAGTTGAACATGTTATTAGGGGATCAGAACTGCTGTACATTATTAGTGCCATCACTTATTTACAAAATATTTAACCAAGTTGTGGTCATGAATAACATAGAAGATAATAAATGGTTACTCACGGATGAAAATATAATCCATAAAGCAAAACGTAATCCATTTCTACCGTTATATCATCTACAATTTCAGGATTTTACTAAGAAAGGGAGTTAGTGAGCAGTAACACCCATTATAATTTCCATGAATTTGTAAATCGTGGTTAGTTACTTAAATCTCACTTCTTCAATAAACGATATATTCAGAGTCGTCTTGACATAGTCATTATGAAATGCCTATGACGGTTTATTCGCCTGTATTATTCATCCAAAATTACATCAGTGTATTAAAATTTCTTTCTAAATTAACGTAAAATACAGTGATTCAGAGTGGGTTGGATAATGAGATTTTGAAACGAATACAGCAGTTATAAATTTATAGCTACAATAGCACAAATGTTAATGTTTTTAATTGATACCAATCTACACTTGGTCAAATATTAACTTTTCAGCCCATTCGATTGTGCATCCTTGGTCCACCTGCAAGTGGTAAGACAACACTGGCTAAAAAGCTTTGTGAATATTATAAATTGCCGCATATACATATTAAACAAGTCATTGATGAAGCTATAGCTAATCTAGTAAGTTAAATAGTTAGTTTACTCCTGCTTGAGACTGTTTTTTTTTCCGACTCAACTGACTAAAGTACGTAAAGTTAAATCTGATGGATTTGTCGATCTATCAAATAAACGGTAGGGAGAAAACGTTGAAAATGTATTGAGTCAAGTGAAGATAATCTTAGGAAAAACAACGAAAGCAGAATTATTTTCTACCAATATTCTAGAAGAATAGTTATCCCCCCAGCTTCGATAAAATCTGGTTATCAATGAGTTATAATTAACGTAGAACAATGCATAACTTAGTGTTAGACGAAGTGGCCACGCCAAATTAGTAAAACGAGATGCAGCTAAGATGAATAGAAAAGCAGTCAAAATAACTGTAGTACCATTAATAGTAAGAAAAACTTAACACTGGTAATATGGTTCAAAAAGGTATGATGAGAAGATATGTCTGAAGGAATACTAAAAGCTGAGATAAAGAGGACATGGATCTGAGACACTATGATATTTTTTACTTTGCCATACAATGTCTTTAGTCACTGATCGTAGTCATCGATCGGACCCCAACTAAACAGTCTGGATCTATCATCACGGTTCAGTTCACCGATCAATAATTTTGTGGTCACGTTTGTTTTTTCCGCCTTTAGGTTTCTGATAATCTAATTTTACTCTACTCAGCATCGGATTTCGCAGTCATTGATGGTTGTCACTGGCAACACGTCCGCACCACGTCATTAGATGGAGAGTTACTGCTCTATTAACATGTATGCCATCTTTATCCGGTATCCTACAATAAATATGAATGTTACTTACTCGGTTGTTCCATAAATTACTCTAAATGCTTCGAAGACAGTTACAATTAAATACTACTAATCCATAAATGTCCTCGACTTCTAAATGGGGCGTTTCATAGTGATTAAACAGAGGAAACTGCTGTACAATACACTCGCCCTTCAATCGGCAAACAGATACGTCACTTACGCCATGAAATTAGTGGCCAAAAGTCAACCGATCTTTCTGAACCCGTGTTGAGATTCCGTCTTATACCAAACCACTAGGATTAACGAGTAGTGCACTTAGCCAATCACTCCCTATTTTTAAAACAGGCGAGCTTTTTTTGTATAATATGACGATCGACTTCGGAATTTCTGAGGTCGGTAAGTTGACATTATAATTGGTCAAACGCATTATGTTACATGGGAAAAATTTCAAAAGTTGTATTGAAGATCTGAAAATCTTGTAGATTTAGTACTAACGATGAATCAACACATATTAGTTTATTATTTTCTGTCAAATGAAATAACATAGACTGAATTCATTTAGAAGATAAATTCTATTAAACGTTAAAAGTAACACACTGAACCGTATCGATATCTTTACTACCTACACATTCATAAACATAGATTAGCCGTCAAACGACAGTGTGTTATTGCTAATTTCAATCTATATACATAGTTACGGATACAGTTGGCTAATATTTAGCTTTTAAATGCAGATGGCTAAAAAAATACCAGGTGGTTTCTAGTAGTCTCTTATTTTATTTACTTTGAAATTGATAGATACACTAATATAAATCAAATTACAACAATCGACAATGTAGTTCTAAGTTAACCTAACATTACAGTAAATAGAAAGGTGAGTGTAAGTTAGAAGCAACAAATATCAAAATTGTTCAGTTCAGAGTAACACTACTGAAATAACTGAAATTTATCAGTCCGCAACTAACAAAATTGTAGTTTCCTGAATACAACCTCATCATAGTAAAAATTCAAAACAACTTTCGAAAAGCAGATACTTTGCGCTGAGAATTCTATATTGTACCAAAATTATAATATTGAATAAAGCTCACTGAAGACAATGATGTTCGGTGGCGCAACTTCATGGATTGCTTGAAGTTAGAGATTAACACCGTTAGATGCCGGCTCAGTGGTCTAATGGTTAATTGCTCGCGCGCGAAGCCAGTAGGCCCTAGGTCCGAATCCCGCGAGGGGCGGGATTGTGGATGTGCACTGCCAAGGAGTCCCATACTAGGACGAAACGGCCGTCCAGTGCTTCCAGGTTTTCCATGGTGGTTTAGCTTCAATTGACTCATGATTTCAATCTGTGAAATTTCTTAAAAATCTCCACAAAACTCATTCTGATAATAATTGTTTTTCAATACAAATAATAGAAAAAACGTGTTCAAATGATTGAAGAAGCTCAAAGTGATCAAAACCAAATGGTTAATGAAAATGAATATCCAGGCAGTGAGGATTCTGAGTTCTTAGAAGCTATTCAACAAAACATGACTGAAAATAACGGTCGACTTGGTTTAGAATATGTAACAACGTAAGTAGTTTATTTTTTAATCAGTAATCATAACAATAAAACCAGATAACATAGCTTTTCTAATTATGCAATTTGCTACTTGAAATAAATGTCTATTAAAATAAAGAAGCTATGAAAACTACTTATGAGGGTTTGTATTTTTCTGTTGTTGATGTTAAGGACTGAAACTAATTAGTTCCTATGGGCATATTTGCATCCCAGATGGATTGGCTTGGCGTTAATGTTTAATCATTAGTTTTGACTAAGTTAGATAGTGACTAGCAAATACGATTCATACCGATCACACAAACTAGTGACCATTTGAAATCAGTAGCTCGGTTGATAACAAGTTGGTCTTTGAAATGAAAAATACTGGATTTGAGTATCAATATGAACACCAACGCCAAAATGTAGGTACATTTAACTGATGAATCCTACTTGGGACATGCCCGTCCTAAATCCCACTAATAGCCACTAACTAATTTTGATAGAAATTGTGAAGAATATTCAATTTGAAGTTTGATTTTATTACAGACCGGGATCAAATGAAAGAGTTAAACTATCAGAGAATGGCTAGAACTAAACAGCTGTACAATCTCTTCTAGATGTCAGTGGCTGTCGTCCAGATAAAAATAGTCTTCAGTGTAAGCTATTTTGAAAACTGAACCATCTCCATCAATTGCCTATCGTAATAATGATTTTATTCTCGCTAGAGATTAATCGACAAAAATTGATGGTATGAAGTACTTGATTATGGGATTAGTGGAATAAAAGATTCACACTCATAAACAGGAGACTTTAAGGTCCAGAGTTCAGTTCCGCTGAGGTAAATGGCGTGATTTGATGTGGAGATCTAAAATAAGATGGAAATATAGATCAATTATCCCTTGGCTTCCAAAGGTTATTTACTTGTAGAGAGTTCGGGGAGAAAATTACATACAAATTACCCGTGGAAGATTCTTCACAGACTACATCAGTAGACTTCATATAGCAGTTTTCAGAAGAACCCAGTAAGCCATTTTCATCCCAATTGAGATTTATCAGCAGAATACACCTACATCTAGGCGTTGATACTCATATAATTCATAATATATTTTATACATGTTAAATAATCTGATAAGTATCATGCCTCTTCACTTTCGTGAATAACATCCGAGCATTTGAATCGATGAATTTTGGACATAGACAAACCTGACTTACTAGTGGAGAAAACCACACCTTATCGGTTGAAAACATGCATTGGTAATAAGTGTGTCTATTTACGAGGAATTTAATCGATCAATGCGTAGGGTGTAAGTAATTCATAAGTTGCCAGACTAAGTCACCATTATAATATAAAAAGCACTTTATAATGATAAAGTTACATGAAGTCTTGTTATTTAGATTATTTCAAGAAAAACTCAACTCTAAGCCATGTCAAAATCAAGGATACATAATTGATGGATATCCGAAATCAAAAACGCAGGCAGCCTCGTTGTTTTCTCGTAAGTTTCGTAAAAATAACATAACAATTAATAATAATTAATATTTTCCGTTATATCCCAATGAGTAGAAAAATTGTATTTCTGGTGTTTCGTGACTTAATGTAAGTCACTTCTTCAGAGTAAGTAAATAACCGAATCACATTAACACAAGTTAAAATAGTAATAATTTTCATTATTATATTACAAGTATGGTTACCGTTGACGTAGAATAAAAATTCGAATCGAATAAATAACCAAATTGTTCAATGATCATGATGTTTGTGTCATTATTACTAAGGGCCTGACAAATCCTAAATAAAAAACACGTCCGTTCTGGATTCCAGAGATAGCTATACGTTTATTTTTAGAAAATTATGTGAAAGACTAGTTAGTCAACTTACAAAAGGGACAGAAACTTACTATATAAGATCCAGGATGCTAGAGAATACTACTTATTTTTGTGATGTTACCCTTTTTAGTCTGAATGCTTTAGTCATAAAACATTGATTGTACTTTTTTAGGCTAATTTATCAGCATAAATTTCAGTATAAACTATTGATATTGTTTTACAAGTAGTTGACAGCTTGGTTTGTTGCAGTAGAATCTGATTGGTTTCTGTCGGGCAATAAATATACTGTCACTATACAATGGAGTATGTGGATGGTTATAGTATTTTCTCAATATGTCTGTAGATTTCTGAGTGACCTCAGTGCTAAGCTTCAAAAAAGCTTATCTATTCTTAAAAATCCTCCTAAGATATCACAACGAAACTAGGAGAAAACGTCCCTTTTTCAGAAATATTATTAGCAAGTAATGTAATTGCATGTATATATACAGAAAAAAAAATATTTTCATTTATCAATTATTTTAACTGAAATTAGGTTTTTCTATAGAACCTATCAAGCTGAAAAGTTGAACACTACCAGGCTATTAAGCTTTAAAGCAGGAGTGAAAAAAACCTTCCCCCTTCCACTGTCATCGATCATGAGTCATATTATCCAAAGTTTCCAACTATATATTACAATTATTATGTTGATCCATCAACCAGTTCATTATCTCAAACTAGTAAGCTGAGAAGTATGTAAAAAGAATACTGAAATGATCCCTGTGGACAAACTTCAAGTGCGCTATACCTTCAACGAAAGTTTCTGATTGGTAGAACAGGAAATGATATTCAGAATGACATGCAACTATCCATTTTAGACTTGAATTTTACTAAAGCCTTGACAGAAAGTGAAGAAAGAAATAGAACTTCATCAAGGTCTACAAGGAGAAAAATGGGAAAAGTATAGAATGAGTAACAAGTAGTGAATTTTTTTTGAAATATAGGTCGAATAAAATGACGAGTTTAATCGAAATTATTTGTAACACTGAATTATGCACTGATGGATTCCATCAAGTACTGTGATCTGTGTGAGATTTAGACCTGATGGTGGAGACGATTTGTAGCTCAGATGAATGATTTTGATGGCATTTTGTCCTCTGAGTTGGATGGTTTGGCCGTAGAGCTTTTATCGTTCGAACACTTCATTTCTATCTGACGTTTGTGCTGATGATGTCGTTCAGAAGAACGATGAAAGCTCCACGACCAAGCCATCCATCTCAGAGAACAAAACTCCATCAAAATTCAAACCTGATAATAATAAACTCTGAGAGTCAAGTTTTAAATTCATCGATACGTAATTGATCTATGAAAGTCGTATCTTCTAATCGTTTATTTCAAATGTTTAATCTTTATTTAATGTTTCGTAAATAAGCACGTTATTTTACTGGAGTGGAAGCCTATTTCGTTAGCCAATTAGTTACTTTAATGACTCGGACAGCATATGGTTATTGAAATGTTTTACCCCATGAATAACTCTATTCTTCTCATAAGAAATTGTGACTTTCAGTACATATAACTCCGATACTAATGCCACTGTAACTATACGTCTCATGTGTGTTTGTATGTCTATACGCTTATTATACTTGTATACTTAGCACACTATGCACTGTCCTTTTTGAGTTATATTAACGCTCATAATGAGTAGTCTTTTAAGTTAGACCGTGGGCACTAAAAGTTTATCCATAGTTTTAGTGATTTTATTTTTCCTTAAAATATATTTCAGCTAGTGGGGGTAGTGGGGATGGTGAAGAAGACGAAGGAGAACAAGAAAATGAAGAAGAGGAAGAAGAAGGAATTAAAGCAATAGATACAAGCGATTTTACACAATCAGCTAATGAATTGTTTAAAAGTCAATACTTACAATCTGAAAAAGAAGCAGACGATGTAACTAAGGAATTAGGATTATTATCAACTCAACCAATACCAATGCAATTACCTAAAGGATTACTTCCTGCATATGTATTTGAACTTCAAGCAACTGATAACTTTTTAAGAGATCGTATTATGAATATGCCAGAATATAAAGTACATGGGACCCATTATACTGAATCGGGTTTTTGGCGACGTTTAAATGAATATCGAACTAATCAAATAGGAATAAATCCAGCTTTATCACCTACTTTAAATATTCCTGGATCTCCAGGTTCTGAACCTGAAGTTGGACAAGTTGATTTAAATTCATTAAGTCCATTAGCTTCAGCAAGTATTTACGAAAATTCTGTAAGAGCTTATTTTGATTCTAAAGGAATTCTTCAAATCCCAGTCAATATAATGACTGATGAAAGTGAAGTGAGTAACAATAATAATGGAAGTTTTCGTTTGATTAAAACATATCTTTCTAAAAGGGTTATACAAATTCTAAATCCATTAAATTTGATAAATGGGTAAACTATCAGACATCTTTGAAACTAATTTTAAACTTAAAGAAGACCTGATCACATTTGTATTTCTCTTATGGTTTAATTTTTTTCTGGTAAGCGTTTTTTTAGCAAGTTAGTTTTCTACGGGATGGGGACGCTAACTCCATGCCCAACCTTCCTCCTTTACCCGGGTTTGGGACCGGCAGTAACCCTGGAAGAGCTACAGGCGGAGTTATTTCTCTTAGGGTACACTCCTAATTATAAATCTTCATTCGTACATAATGTAGTTTATTATGGGTAATTTTAAAAGTTAGAAAACTATTTACATGGATGGTCAGTTAAACAATCTGAATTCTTTAGTTGTACATATGCTAACTGACTTAATTAACATAATTTTAAAAAGCTCTCATTTATAATGTATTTGATCAATTAAAGGATGTAATTTATAACTTATATTTGAAATCATAAGTTGATATTTTTTACGACACTAAGTACATATAAATCGAAAGATGAAAATTTCAGTCTTCATAATTACTTACTTACTTACTTACTTACGCCTGTTACTCCTAATAGAGTATAGGCTGCTGACCAGCATTCTCCAACCCACTCTGTCCTACGCCTCCTTTTCTAGTTCCATCCAATTCTTGTTCATTTTTCTCATGTGTCTCCATTTCTCGACGTAATGTGTTCGTTGGTCTTCTTCTTTTCCTTTGTTCTTGAGGATTCCATGTGAGGGCTTGCCTTGTGACGTAGTTCGGTGCTTTCCTCAATGTGTGTCCTATCCACTTCCAGCGCTTCTTCCTGATTTCTTCCTCCGCTGGGATCTGGTTTGTCCTCTCCCACAGTACGTTGTTGCTAATAGTGTCCGGCCAATGGATCTGAAGTATTTTGCGTAGACAATTGTTAATGAACACCTGTATTTTCTGGATGATGGATTTCGTAGTTCTCCAGGTTTCTGCCCCATACAGTAGAACTCTCTTGACATTTGTATTGAAAATCCTGACCTTGGTGTTGGTTGACAGTTGCTTTGAGTTCCAGATTAGACAAGTGAAAAGCATAATCACAGTTTATCCAGATGATTGCAATGGAGATCAAACCATCAGTTCCACTTTAGTGGGCAAAAACATAAAGTACTAACTAATTAGAGTAAATCTATAATGATTTACTAAGAATTTAGTCAGTTTGATTAAATAAAAGGAAGAATCCCTGGTCATAAATATGCCTGGATAATCAAATTGTTCGAGTCATTCCATGAGAATATACTGGTAATAAAGTTATAGATGATATTACACAGTATAACATCTTCAAACCCTAATGTTTCCGATTACTGCTTATACTCTTACTACCTCTACAACTACGGAATGTGAGTCGACAACTGCATCTCTGTGGCAACTCGAACTGATATACGTACGTACGAAGTTCTACGTTGTTACTGACTAACTGATATCAGTGAAAAAAATGAACTCACAGATTAACTCATTTAATCAAGAGCTAGATTAAAAAAATTGTTGAGATTAATAATTTATACGACAATTTGAACTCATTGTAGTGTGTTGTTTGGATTTGTGCCGTTATATATTTGAAATTGAAGAAAGTCGTTTTTCGCAGTACCGGACACCAACCAGTGCATACTGATTTCTGTGTACACTTCACTTGGCAAAATGATTCAGATTACTTTGATTTGTATTTTTAAATAAAAAATAGGAGTTGGAACAAACATTTAGAAAACTAGTTTATTTTATTGGTCCACCACGTAATTATGGTTTATCTGATGAAGAAATTGAAAAGCAGCGATTAATTGTGGAAAAGCAACGTATTGAATTTGAAAGAGCGGAGGAGGAAAGGTTAAAACAAGAAATTGAAACTGCAGAAGCTGAACGTAATCAACGTATAAAAGAATGGGTAAGATGTAGACTTTTTTTAAATAAAACGCTCCTCACATGTTTATATCTGTGAAAGGATGCAGAAAACATATGTAAATTGCAAGTATTTGATAATAGGTCGTTAGGATGTTTTATGCATACCCAATCACTACCTGCTCCGATGTTCTCTGTTGACTGGTATAGAAGCTAGTATGAAAAATCAGAACAATACGTTCCTAGATAAAAATGTTTGAAGTAACAAAATTCTGTGTCAGTTGACATTCTCGATTCGTGTATCAACTCAATAAATAACCCAAAAAAATAGGATGATTTAGAATACAAAGATACTTATTATTTGTTGCATAAAAAAAGATCGGTAGAAATAGGAAAGAACTAAAGGGCTCACAAACATGGCATTGGAACCATATAGGGAGCATCTGCTCCCTCATATATGCCCTGCTAACGATTGCCAATTATTACGAAACCTAGGTTCAGGATTTTCCGATCTCTCCAAATACTTGGTATGAGAATGGACAAACGTATTTATGAAGTACAGCTACCAAAATTTGATTCATGTGTCAAGTCCCCAACATCTAGCTGCAACTGCCTCGTGGACTCAAAATCGCCTGTCTACCACTTCCAAGCAAAAACTTCTGATTTATCATTAAGGATCAGTAACATTTCAGGTGGCTATCAACATGACACGTTAGATTTATGCTATATCTCAAATGTTCATAATAATTGCAGCTCAAGTCTGTGAAACACCTATCAAGTGATATAATGATACGCCTAAATTAAACTGGGAGTTTCGATCACGTAAACAAATTCTGCAATACATATTAAAGATGTATTGTGCGGTTATTTCCTTCTTGAATTCTCTATAAAAACAAGTGGTCTAGTTCTGAAACTTCTTAAAGGATACATCATCTTCGTTTGTTCTGTCGGCAGGTTTTTCATGCAAAAGGTATGAAGTATCTCGTGATTTTGTAAGCCCTATACCAATTATTGCAGTAGTGTTAATAGGCTTCATCAGAAGTTATTAAAAAAATTTGCGTCACTTTTGGCGTAGACGATAAATTCGTCTGCCAAACAAAGGACGAGTTTACTAATCTGCAGTTCGCTCCACCCCACTCTACGGGTGTTAAATCTTAGTATATACTGTTGAATACTTTTATTTAATGCTATAAAGGCTGATTTGATATCGACCCTATGATGCAATTAGCCTTGAATATAATCGTTCTATACAAAAATTCCAAATTTACATTTGAATTTTTGTGAATAAGAAGTGAGAACTCGATAAAAGTAAAATGTCACTTAACGCTACACAAAGAATACTGTACACATTGAACGATTTATGAACAGTACGCCAATCCGCCAAAGAACAAATGACAAGGAAAATCCAGCATAACATATGAGTAGATAGATACTTTCATATGTATACTGATACATTTATATGTAACTGGAACTTTCATAGAACTGTCAACTTATCTTTGTTTTTCTCCTTTAGAAAGAAAAACAGGAAGCTTTGGAAAAAGAAGAAAAAGACCTATTAAACAAAGAATCAGAACCATTAAGGGCTTATTTAAGAAAGCATATTATGCCAGTATTAGCAAAAGGATTAACTGAATGTGTTCGTAAACGTCCAGATGATCCGCTGGATTTTCTAGTAAGTATTTATTAAATGGAATTAGTGGTATTTAAATTCGATATATTTTTAATGTACAAGCATTGTCATAATAGGATATTTTACTTGACCCTACAATTAAACTTAAAGAAAACTACGAAAATTTAGTCATAATAAGCTCAGTACTCCCTAGAATACTTTATTTAACTCATAATATATTGAAATCATGAGTCAATTGAAGTAAGACCACCATGGGAAGCCTGGAAGCACTGGACGGCCGTCCCGTCCTAGTATGGGACTCCTCAGCAGTGCGCATCCACGATCCCGCACCCCACGAGATTCGAACCCAGGACCTGTCAGTCTCGCGCCAGGCGCGATTTCAATCAAAAGCTTAACAATCTCCACAACCCCTAAACTGATCATAATATATTGTAAGTTAAGGGTTAGATAACACTTCATCATGTGTGGTGTTACAAAATAACCTCATATGAAAGTTAGTGGTCGACAGGAAATCCTGGAACTAGGATTCGTGCCATTTGGTACTTGTCAGTAAAAGGTTCCTTCAATCTTGAAGGAACTGGTATTCCCTTTATGGACCCAACCCTATGTCATCTAGCTTCACAGTCTGAGGTATTACCATTGAGTTGTTTGTCACAGCTGACCGCCTGAAGAGCTACGATAAAAGGGACTAAGCAAACACAATATTGACCACTATGCAGTAATCAATTTATTGCAAATATCTATCCTAAAGTAGGTCCATCGCGACTTGAACAACTCACTGGCAAGGTTTCAGACTGTGAAGCTGGGTTAAACAAGGGGAAATATTTCAGGGTGTATCAGTTTCCTTAAAATTACAAGTACATCTTGCTAACAAGTGCTAAATAGCGCAAGACCTAGATCCAGAGTTCTTTTATCTACTTTCACCTACAATACTTTATATTACATTAACATCAGCAAAACAAGAACTTTAGAAAAATATGTTTAGAACACATATAAAGTCCTTTGTTCAATTTAATCAAGCATAATATCATCAAGTTTATATCAAACTAAAAAAGTTTCTGCATTCTTCAACTGTTGTCATTGGAATTCTTTGTTGATTATTCAAGATGTCTACAGAATAGCGTAAATTATAATTTGACAACAAGTGCGACAATCACTGACAAAACCTTTGACGGATGCAGATTCATTTCAATTGCTAGTAGCTAGTATTAACCGCGCCAATGAAACAAAACAAACACATTTACATATGATGCTCTATATATGATTGATAGCATGAGTAGAGTAACAGAGGAATAATAAAAACGAGGAAACTTTGCCTCAACTTGAAACAGTGAGATTAGACGCTTTTTACGTGGTAGCAATAATTTGATTTTTCCAGAAAGAACTATTAAATGTATGTGCAAGACAGGTTAGGATTTCTTGTAAAAGATTATACAAATGATTAGTATGATTATCAAGGTCTGACTTTATAATTTCAAATAAATTAAGCATTAGGTATTTCTATGATACACATGATTTCTACAAACATTTTCAGTAATACTCGTACCATTATCTCAGCTTTATCTACGACTGGAATTTTTTCTAAATACCCAATTAAGTTTAATCAGCTGTAACTAAGATCGGTTGATGGGGTATTAAAATTACAACTAGGGAGGTCTTGTTTTGGAGTTTTATGATTGGAATTACCTTTTATAATGAACTTTAATCCTCAAGCAGTAAAACATTACAATACTTAGATGCCAATCTGTTGTATCATGGCCTACTGTAGCATTTTGACTAGGTTAGCGTCGTTTTCTTCCAGACTTAATTTTTCCCATGTTAGAATCAAGATTCAATTGCGAAAATGATGAGGATAGTATATTTCGAATAATCAACAAGCTTAAGAATGATAACCAGACTAGAGATTAAAAAAACTCAACACTTAAAAAAACCAAGGCGTTAATCGATCCCCAATTATCAGGCAGACAAACAAAACATAGATTCTTCAAGAGCTGTGATAAACATCCAGATGTACACCAAATAAGGCATCAGTGATTAGTAAAAACAACAAGTGAGGTCGTTTGGTAACAGTTACTGATTAAAATTGAATTTACTTTGAGTGGTGATTGTACAAAGCATTTATGTAAAGAGAAGGAAATCAGAGTTAACTGTGACGAACTAATTCCAACTACTTCATAAAGAAGTTTGGAGTGTAGAAGACTGGATAGCGATTTACTGATCTAAAGGTCAAGCGCTCGCATACACTGTCTTCCCTTAAACTAAGAGATTAAAATCGCTTCGTATCTTTCTTTCTTCCTGTACTATGTCCTTATTGCAATCTTTCTCTTATATATTACCATCTCTGGATTAACTACTTTTATGAATCCGGTGTCCATCTTGTTGTGTTAATGAGGTATGGCAACTTGAACCGATGCATATATGTGCCTGGTCCTACGTTGTAGTTGACTGACTGACTGACTGACAAGCGCTCTCACAGACCTGAAGGACCTACGTTCGACTCTCAGTGGGGCCAAGGATGTATACTACTGAAGGGTCTCATCCTAGAACGAAACTTGTTCAGTGATTACTGATTTCTAATAACTGCCTAACATAATTTAGTTTGTGACATACAAAATAAAATATTACATAACCCTTGGTTTTTCAGCTGACATCGATAAGCTAAATTTACCGCAACCATATAATTTAACTATATGGTAATCTATTTTCTAATATGCGAATCATTGTCAACTTATTAATAGTGTGTCACTTTCAACTATCATAATTTATCATTTTATAATTCTATCTCATTTCAGAATTGCATCCCAACTTTATGAACTAAATTATGTTAAACTTTTGTTTTTAATCATATTCCTATTCATAAAATTAGATAGTTTGGAGTTGATAAGGAGTTTTAAAATAGAATACACATTTATTTATAATGTTACACCTAATCTGTTTAAAACTATCACCGTAACCAAATCTATGATGATGTCGTTCAGAAGGACGATGAAAGCTCCACGACCAAACCATCCAGCTCAGAGAACTAAACTCCACCAAAATCATCCACCTGAGTTACAAATCTTCTCCACTATGAAAAACTAACACTTCTTTTCTGATTTTTTTTTAAATTTCAGGCTGAATATTTGTTTTACAATAATCCTCAAGTTGATTAAAGTTTTTCAATATTCAATTAGACTGAATAAATAAACAAAATTACATCCCATGGAAATGAATAAATAATATCAAAAGAAATTTAAAGACAAATGACCAACATTTACTTAAAAAGAAAAGAGAACTGAGAACTTAACCGTATAAGTACCAAACTTAAAATCTAAATCATTTTTATACTTTATGGTTATGACTGTAATGTTCTTTTGCCAGTAACTTTTACTAATAAACTTCTCAAAGTCATGAAAGAAATTATATTCATTATGGACTCTCAATAATAAATATCTGGATAACAGAATTTTGCAAACACTAGGGTGTAATTATTATTGCCAACTAATAATCTACAAGTTAATTTGTAAATAATTCTCATAATTTCCTGACTTTATATCTAGGTAACATATTATTCAATGATGTCAGATCCTGTATTTTGAGTCGGTGCAAAAAGCTCACTATTCCCTGTTGGTTATACGTCTCATTATGCTATAATACTTGAGAGAAAAAAGCTACTTAAAATACTTTCGTTTATTCATCATGGCTTTTGTTTAGTGATTATTATACGGGAAAATTAAATTTCCATAGTTAGGATTTCAAGTAGTAGTGGTTTGTAGAGATTTAGTTAATTTCATCAGCGGAAGAACAGTGAAGAGCATGTACATACATTTATTCTTGCAGATGTGGTGTTGTAAATGACTGAGCTCAGGTATCTGGATAAGCAACCTGATAGGGAAGTTGCTGGTGTGGGAGACAAGACTGATTTCAGTGCCTCGGTAAAGACCAGGTCTAGTGATGATGAATCATGATTATTAAGGGCCAAACGTACAATGTTTTAATATGAGTAGCAATACTATAATTGTGAAAATTAACCTCCCATAGGTTAAGGAAGTCAGGAAGTTTTCCATTCAGATTCTGCTACTAAAACAATACTGCTTGTTTTCTGGCAGTAACATTATCTAAGTAATGCTGAAAATTATTAGCCTGTCTAAGCATAGTAGAGACTATCATTTGTCCGGGTGTTTTCGATGCGAACAGCGAATTCGGTGGCTCAGAGGTGTTTTATAAATTAGCTCTTATATCAACCGTTCCATGATGAACTGAATAAAAACATATAAGAGAACAGTTGCTTTGCGATATGGATATGTGAAACACTACTTCTTGGGTAAGGATTATGAACATTAAGTAACTTAATGTTTTTTTACTTTATCAAGTAGCAGATATATGGATCTAAGAAAACAATAAGATGCTCATGTTCCCAAGGTCCGATTGTGTGTTGAATGTTTTGGTGTCTCAATTCACACACTTCATGTTAGATAAATACATTAATACAACTGATGTAAACCATGTTAGATTATAAATACTAAGTGGACTGTTACAAAAACATTGCAGTTCAACAATAAAAAGGGTTGTATTTTCAAAGCAAGAAAATTAATTACAACACTGTACACCAAAATAACGAATTTGGTCTATCGTTTCATTTCCCCAAGATTCTCTATTACGTCTTTATCAATCTACAAGACAAAAATAAATCGTTTGAACTTCATAGTCAGCAAGTAAAAGAATGAAGGCACCAAAACTTAGATTAAAGTGTTAAATAAAAATATTTTTGGATAGGTTTTGTATAGATATGTTTAGTTCCAAAGTGGTATACATCAAAGATTGATCTCAGCTGCGGAACTATAAAACCAGTGGGGCTCGCCAGCTGTTTCGCCCTGGCGTGGAACCCCTCAGCACTGCGCACCCACGATATTACCAGGGATCGAAATCAAAACTTTCAGAATTCTCAGTGAGCGACCTACCACTCGGTCAACTCTCAATGGTATGTATTTTTAACTCCGATCAATTCGTGATACAATGCAACAATCATCCAATGCCATTGATGAGTACTGTTTTACTCCCGAAATGTTTGAATTCCACCGGTCATAACGTCTCACCAATAATTCATAACTCCATCTCGAAACAAGTCACGAAAGGGTACGATTATAGTATGGGTCTTTTTCAATTGGTTTTCTACATTGCTCTAACTGAAAACAATCAGTAAAGAATACCACCATTATATATAAACTCATAAATAACAATGGGCACCTGTCCTTGATGTATATCGTCTGCGATGAGCTTAACCTAATGTAATTCATTTATCAAGTACTAGTTCGTTCTTAACGTGGGAAGTAGAAATAATGTTCGACTGGTGTACCCGAACTAGATGACAGAGGCATCTGAACTGTCTTAGTGGTTAAAAGTTGGATGATTTAACCACTAAGCTTGACAAATCCTAATGAAATTAATTCCTCATACGACTGAAAAAATTAACCGAATATAATGGTTTAGAATTCCTCGTAGGCAATAGTAAAAAGCATTAAGGGAAAGTAATAACCTCAACTACCATCACTTTTAAAATGACTACATAAGACTGATACTTTAAGCAAACATCCCATTAGCTAAGAGAATAATCATCCCTTTCATACTTTAGGTATTTATGTAAGAAAGATACTAAATTTCACGATATGAATAACCAGAAAGTTATCTGGTTGCATATTTACGACAGGACAAAACAACCTTCTATTTATCGGCAGCCTCTTTTTGTCTTTCCCCTTTAATCACAATCATCATTTCTGTTGATAAACTTATCATTTATATATTCTATTCAAATTCTTATTCTCCAACTGTTAACCGTCCGAACCCGAAAATTCCAATCCATGCATTTAACAGTGTATTCTGATTTCCAACAACTCAAATCTTTGTTAATTCAGGCAGCAAGGCTGTTGAACGAACGAGAATATGTAGTTCTGATATATATAATTATTAGAGCTTTATTACTGGAACCAAAGACAGCTAAGAATTTAAGCATGTAAACAAAATGAAAAATATACACTATAAGCATGAAAGAAATGACGAACAGAATAAGAAAAGTAACTCACTTCTGGCCATTTTTCTATTAATACATTAATTAGCTCGTCTTTTACATCTCCTTGAATTACAATTTCATCACCATTCCCCGTTACTGAACTACCGGTTGCAAATTTGTGACCGAATACTTTCGAAGCTGCTTTCAGATCAATCCCTTAATTATGAAAAAACAGGCCGATTGAGTTGTTTTAATTCGTCATAAAATTACTATTTCTTGATTGCTTTCGTTTTAATTGATAGTAAAGCATAAGGATCTATGGCTTTATTTAGTCACAATCGATGCCTAATGATCGAAGTCGGCAGCGAAATATTGGTATTCTACCGTGAATAGTTGGATTTAACAGTACCATTAATAAATTGCAGTATATGGCATCATTTATTCACGAATCCAATATAGATTTTCAATCATTAAGGTTGATAGTCATGTCTTAATTTCCTTAGTGCTTTAGTAATGCAGAGGTTTGGCATCATGTGTTCGGGCACAGAGATGATAATGCAATCGATGTCACCATCTTGAAACACCGCCTTCGGTGGCTTGGACATATTCTTTTCGTCATCTCCGCCTATGCCCCGACAGATTGCAGCCCGGATGCAATCAAGGATGAGTTTTACCACCAGTTATCAGTTCTTCTCCAGAAAGTGCGTTCGACAGATATTGTAGTACTAGCCGGAGACTTGAATGCTCAGGTCGGGCGTCTAGGCACAGAAGAGAGTCGTTTAGGTGGCCGATGGGGACTCGTTGGTCGCAGGTCAGATAACGGGGACCGTCTACTGCAACTTTGCACAGACCACAACCTGTTTCTGGCTAGCACTAACTTTCGGCACAGTCATCGCCGATGTGCCACCTGGCGTCCTCCCTCTGCATCTCAAGCCTGGACTCAGATTGATCACATTGCGATCAGCTACCGCTGGCGTGGTTGTGTACAAGACTGCCGCTCCTTTTGGAGTACCTATCTGGACTCTGACCACGCCTTGGTCTGCGCCAATCTTGCCTTACTTTTCAGTGGACAACGAAGTGAACGCCATCAACGGATTGATGTTAGCAAGCTGGTTGCAACTTCTGTTGCAAGTAAGTATCGAACCGAGCTAGCCTCTGGGCTAGCTACCACTCCACCGAAAAGTATAGATGAGCATTGGTTGCAATTGCATGACGCCATGAAAATGGCGGGAACAGTCAGTTGTGGGTTTGCGAAACGTCCCGCTTTTAAGCACTGGGTTTCTTCTGGTTCCTTACAACTCATTGAAGCCCGTCGGTCTACTCCGGGTAACCGTGAGTTTTACCATAAACGAAGGATTTTACGTAAGGAAATCGGGCAAAGCTTGCGTAAGGACCGAGAAGCCTGGTGGTCGATGCGTGCTAATGAGCTGGAAGCAGTAGCTGCATCTGGTAACTACCGGAAGCTCTTCCAACTCATCCGAGCCACTGGCAGCAAGAAGTCTGATGTGAGCGAAACAATCTGTGAGGATGACGGAATGCCAATCACTAACATCCATCGACGTCTTGGACGATGGGCAGAATTTTTCGAAGGGCAGTTCAACTGGCCTGCTGCTCCGGCAACATCGGTCAGACTGTCCTGCCCTCCATGGCCGGTGACGACTGATCCACCAAATGAGGAGGAAGTCCGCAAGGAACTCCAACTCTTGAAGCGTTACAGATCACCTGGCCCAGATGACTTACCTCCGGCTCTTTTTAAAGATGGTGGTGACTTTTTGACTAAGGAATTGACGACGTTGTTTACAAAGGTTTGGGAACTAGAGAGTGTACCAACGTCATGGAATGAGTCGATAGTTGTCCCTATCTTTAAAAAGGGTTCACGTCGTTCTTGTAACAACTATCGGGGGATAAATTTACTTCCGATTGCGTCTAAGCTATTGGCTTCCGTCATTCTTCGTAGGTTGTTCAAAACCCGAGAAAGATTGACTCGAGAGGAGCAGGCTGGGTTTCGTTCTGGTCGAGGATGTATTGATCATATCTTCACCCTCCGCCAAATGTTAGAACACCGCCATACTTTTCAAAGGCCAACAATCGTAGTGTTTCTTGACATCAGGGCTGCCTTCGATTCGTTGGATAGGACTGTTCTCTGGGATTGTCTATTGAAGAAGGGTGTGCCTGAGAAGTTTATTAACATCCTAAAAGCCCTGTATAAAAACACCTCAGGCAGAGTGAGGGCATACAACCACCTCTCTCCATTGTTCCATTCGAGCAGTGGGGTTAGGCAGGGTTGCCCAATCTCACCATTCCTCTTCAACTTTGCCATCGATGACATTCTGGAAACAGCTCTGATGAATGTAAGTAATGGTGGTGTGGATCTGTTGCCTGGAGAAAGACTTCTCGACCTTGAGTATGCGGA